AGTAGTAGTAGTAGTAGTAGTAATAGTAGTAGTAGTAGGAGTAGTAGTAGTAGTAGTGGTAGTAATGGTAGTAGTGGTAGTGGTAGTAGCAGTGGTGGTATTCGTAGTAGTAGTAGTAGTAGTAGTAGTAGTAGTGGTAGTGGTAGTGGTAGTAGTAGTAGTAGTAGTAGGAGTAGGAGTAGGAGTAGGAGTAGCAGTAGCAGTAGCAGTAGCAGTAGGAGTAGTAGTAGTAGTAGTAGTAGTTTTGCACCCCAAACTTCATTTGAGTAGGGATGGCCTCCAATCTCTATATTTATGTCGGGCACGCCAGCCATAGATACAAGGAGCCAAAATAGTTTTATAAAGCACAAACAAAGCAAAAAGAACCAAAAGGCAAAGCAAACAAAAAAGCAAAACAAAGTAGCTGTGCGTATTTGTCGTTTTTTTTCCATTTTTTTTCGCTTTATTTTCGCATTTTTTCGCTTTATTTTCGCATTTGTTTCGCCTTTTCCTAGGAGGGTACAGTTTTTGTTCTTTTGTTTTTGCTGTACCTTCCTAGGAAAAAACGAACAAACACGAAAAACTGCGAAAATAACGCGAACAAATACGAAAATAAAGCGAAAAAACGTGAAAAACCGACAAATACGCACGGCTACATCTTTTTGTTTTTTTGCCTATTATTGCGTTTTGTTTTTGCTTTGTTATTTGCTTTTGTTTTTCATTGTTTTTGTTTTTTGCTTTGTTTTTGCTTTGTTGCTTTTATTTTGTTTTTTTTCCACTTTTTTATCAAAAAAACTATTTGATGGTTGGCCATGTATGGCTGCCATCGCCCAACACAACTCTATATGATGGCCTCCAACCCAATGGCCTCCAACCTGGGCAGTCTAGATTGTGGTTTCAAAGCCACTGCGGTCTCATTTGGTTTTGCGGTTTTGCATTAGAACTCGCAACCACTTCTGGGCTCCTTCAACACTTCCAGTAGCCTTCCGCAGTCTTGGTTATGTAGTCTCACCTGCGTTTTTGGATTTTGTGTATTCCAGAGGAAAAGACACCTTCCTTTAAATGCTTTTCGGTTACCCCCCTCTCGCCTGTTTGCTACAGTATCTCTTTGGCCCGATATATATATATATATACATCCCTGTCATTTTTCGCTGAGGGACTCGCTGCAACTCCACCCACCAGTAACTTGGAATGCTCCAAGTGTTTTCCTAATCTCCTGACAAAATATGCCGATTGTTTGCAACCAAGACGCATCGTATCTTGTCATTACACACTGCCCTTTATTCACTGTTGCCCCTTGTGCTCTAACTCCATCGTTGCAGTGGAGTCACTCTGTTCATTGGACATGTTAGCCGCAACTTACATACTTTGTGCTTTTTGAGATTTCATCCCGGCAAGGCTGCGCCGTCACCAGGCCTGGATACGGTTGCAGGGCATAATCGCCCCAATCCTTTTGAGTTTGTCCGGCTCAAGGTGCATCAGAGCACACCAAGATGTCAGAGAAAGAGCCGAACATCGAGCTAAACGAGTCAAAAGAGAAGCTGCTTGAGCTGATGACCAAGATCGCAGCTGAATGTGCTGGCTTTAATGTGGAGGCCCTTCTTTTCTTCTGGGGTTTGCTTCCCCAAGGCCATGGAGATCTCGTAATCACGTGGTGAGTTACGTTACGAAGAGGAAGTAGAAAAGCAAAAACGAACCGGCCCATCGTTTAATATTAGAAATAGAATGGGGACCAATCGTGCCCCGAAGGTTCTACAAGTACACGCCCTTCTGGTGATGTAGTGCTCTAGTCTAGTCGTTCGAAGAGTTCCTTTGACAGTGCTATCTTGGGTTTGTATTGCAAAGCAAGTTTCTTTCATTTTCTCAGCCGTCAGCATGGCTTTATGTTCGATCTCTCCTGGGCACAGTGTGACTGCGACTGCGCAACATATTGATCTCTATAATATATATATATATATATCGCCGCACGATCACAAAATCCTGTCATCATACGGGCCTGTATCATATTCTCTGTTGGCCAGATTGGCCTTGACAAAGGGTGGAACCATTTGACCTTTGTCCTTCACGAGTGGTGAATACACCCACTTCACCGTTGGCAGACTTGTGCCGCTTGACTTGCAGTAGGAGCCACCACCGCACTGGTGGTGAACAGTATCATCTCAATACCTACCAAATCGTGATCTTTCGAACCGCGATCTTTCTGCGTGGTAGGACCTACCACTTCACCATTTTCACCTGTGGAGAAATCCACGGTTTCACTCTTGGAATCAAAGCCACCTGGATAAGCTTTCACTGTGAGTGAGCGGTTGGACATTCTCGCATTTCAGATGGAGGCAATCCAAAGCCTTTGGACATAGGGTCTGGAAAGGTGGGGAGGGTACCCCGCTCGAACCAGTGGAGCGCTTGCATGAAGGTTTGCACAGAATTAATCTCAATTGCGTCAGAACAGTGTCCCAACGGAGCTCCACTATTCCGTATCGCACATTTGGTCAGACCACCAACCATTGCCATTGATCACCCAATGACGCGCCCATTTAGCTTCCACCCTTTTCAAGTTGCGTCAATTATATATATATATACACATGTATAAACGTCATAAGTTGATTATTGCGAATGTTTCATCGACGTTTAGGGCAGACATATGTAGAACTTCAAAACGCAGTTCGCAGGCAGACCGACCTCTGCTGGACTCGGGAATGGATTCCAAAGCTGCCGTGCAGTTCAGTGCCCGGTTTTGGACTCAGCAGCCAGTTCCACCCGAGTGATGTTGCATCACTTGATGTTTGACAGATTAGCTGCGGAGCTTCCTGGAATTCGACTCCCGAGCACTTTGGTCTTCGACTACCCAACATTGTCCGCGGCTTCCCCAGCTGATGGTCGAAAGAAACGAGTTTTTCAAAAGGTGGCTAAGGATGTTTACCTCCAAGGCGGTGGCAGGCTATGCAGCTGAGTCTTCTCAGCCCAAACAACAACAAATAGCGGGGAAGACGCGGGTATCTCCTGATGAGCCGCTGGCAATCATTGGGAGTGCATGCGCATTCCCAGGCAAGACAAGAAAGAACAACACAGGTGAAAGTGTCTGAAACACTGGGACCTTTGGACTCTTGTGCTTATATATATATATATTTTTTTTTTTGGCATTTGACTGCCAAAACTATGATGTTCCGCACTTATGATCATTCCCTGGTACCATCCATTGGGAGGTGAAGCTGATGCTCCTGCAAAGTTCGGGGCATTGCTCAAGCTTGGCACCGATGGAGTTGTTGAGGCGATGGTGCCAAAGACGCCAAAATCCAGTTTGACGTATAGATAGAAATCTATTTATGTTTTTTTCGCCAAGAAAGCGTTGCCATTTTTTCAATCTTCAGTTCCTGCATTTTGTGCAGGTTCCATTCACCCGGTGGGAGCTCGATGAATACTATGATGCGAACCCAGATGCGACGGGGCCTGAGTTCGAAAGTAGCTTGGCACCTCGGTACACCTGAACATCTTCCAAAGAACGAGCATCCAAAAGTGATTTGCTCAGCCAGGCCTGGCAAGATGTACCCACGCCATGCAGCATTCATTGAGGGTGCTGAAGACTTTGCAGCATCATTCTTTAACATTTCAGCACCGGAGGCGTGCTGCCAATGCGCGTGTCACGTTCATTTTCAGTTGAGCCGCGTTCAAGACGCTAAACTACTTAAGCCTTTTGATGAATCTATTCTTGAATTCGAGCGAGTATGGCCACATGCTGGCAAAATTTGAGCCAACAGTTTCTTGCACAGGCCTCTTAAGACCGAAATCCGTCCTGACCCACCCACTCTTACCATATAAATCCGGCCAAGCTCAGCTTGGTGTCTAATTGCTTTTGGGCACAACTTTTCAGGTCAAAAGCCGACCTCCACGCATGCATGCTTTGGTCAATGCACCCCATAATGCTTTGAAGGGGCCTTGAGACTTGGGCAACAGGCACGAGCAATGGACCCGCAACAAAGACTGGCTCCGTGGCTGAATCTAGTTGGAAGGAGTGTCTTTGGGACGTTGCTTGGCAACTGACTCACAAGCTTGCAGCGCAAAACCAAGAATTCAACCTCCTACAGATATATAGCTTAAAGTATATATGTAAAGTATATAGTTGCTTGTTTGTGTTGTTTTGAGGTGCTGGAGACATGTTGTGACTCCATGCTGGACAGCAACATGAAGCAGGAGGCGAGGAGGATGTATTGGCATTGAACAAGTGCTTATGATTGGGATCAATGAACATTTAGCAAGTCTAGCAAGTCTAGAACTGCCAAACACCAAGCGCCAGTCATTGGTGGATAGCAGCGTTGCTGTCATCATTGGCCTGTCCAACAATGATTGGATCCAAGTCCAAAGTGGCGACATCCGTGTCAAGCTGAGCCTTTGATGAGGAGTTCAGATTCGCATACCCGGTCAACAAACATGAGGCAAAATCAATCCCTACACCGCCACTGGCACCTCAGCTTCCGTGGCGGCCGCACGCCACTTTCTTAGTTGAAGTTCCAGGAATTTGGATCAAAGCCATCAAGCGGAAAAACCAAGAAAGGAACATATGGATGATTGAATGACAGCTTTGGGTTGGAAAGCAATGCGAAACGGCTCAGGTGTTGCGTATTGCTTTGGGCTGAAGGGCCCAGCGTACGTGATTGACACTGCCTGCTCTTCCGCTTTGGCCACTTGAAAGAGTTAAAGCAAACTTAAACCGGTTAATGCCACAGCAGTACACAGCATTTTGGGACATATGATTCATATGATGCTTGTGGCAATTTTAATAGCTTTTTGTTACTACTAGTAAGGCACCTGTTACTACTAGCGTGGCACTTGTTAATGCTTGCAAATGTGGCAAGGTAGCTGTGGACAGTGCTTCGATGAATCTTCGACGGGGACGATGCAGTGCTGCCGTGAGCGCAGCTGCAAACGTCCGACCCGCAGAGTATTTGAGCAAGTAGCATAGCAGCGTAGCTAGTTGCTACGTGCCTGGTACTTGCAGTTTGTTGCACTTTCTGGAATACTGAACTGCCAAGCACACTTCCTTACAGTTCTTCCCGAACTTTCTGATAGCTTGTGGAATTTTGCCACGGATCCACGAGTAGTGAGAACAATCGTGCTGATGGATCCAGACACACTGACAAAGAAGAGCAACTCCCACCTGTAGATCCACAATTGGCTTCACGAGGTCATGGCCAGCCCGGCAACCTTCATCAGCTTCAGCAAACCGCGTATGTGTTTTCCTCAGCAATTTCAAGAAGAGGGCAAGTCCAATTAGACAACAGCTTTTTGAATCTCAGAACTTGGACAAGGCCAAAATATACTGTATCAGTTTCTTTCTTTTTGATTTAGTTTCTTCTTTTAACTGTTCTTGTCACGAATGCTAGCTTTGCTAGCTGGGGTCGCGGTTGCTCTACCAAACGTTTGGCAGGGTAGCGCAAAAGACCAACCCTTTGGATTGCATCACTCTGGCTATAATTGCAAAACTCCTTCTGAACCTCTTCGTCAAAGAAGCAAAGGTCAAGTAGCTTCTCCTTTTCCTTTGAAACGCAAGGGCAGTCGGCCACTATATAGCGGATCTCCTTTTTGGTTCCATTTGTCCTAAAACTTGGACGTAGCCCTGCACATTCGCCTCCACAAAGATAGTGTGGATCTACGTGGAGGCAAGCAGACAGGACCTCACCAACCAAGAGTTTTTACCGCTGTGACGTCCAAGCCCGTTAGAGCCCGGTGCAAAGTGAGCTTATGATTGCTCAGCCAATCATTGGCCTGTGTTAGTGCCAACTTTCAGATATATAGGCGGTACGCAGCTGCTTCACATCCATTTCTCCAGTCACTTCTGTTTGGCAGATTGAAATGGGCGAACGGTCTTCAACCATTGTTGTTTTTGCTAGGTGGCAGATGGTGGTAGCTTGCGTTAGCAATTGGTCTACAACTAACGTTCCAGTGGCAGTGCCACATATCAGGTCCATCAGACCAACACCTTCTTATTTTTCATTATTTTTCATCAACCACTACTACTGCTACTGCTGCTGCTACTACTGCTACTACTGCTACTACTCCTACTCCTACTCCTACTCCTACAACAACAACAACAGCAGCAACAACAACAACAACTACTACTACTACTACAGTACTACTACTACTACTACTACTACTACTACTACTACTACTACTACTA